AGATGGCCTGCTAGCATGCATGGGAGCATTCACACGGGGTTCTGTGGTCAACAATCATGACTGACCAGGCTTAACAAAGGTTCTTGTGCCTCCAGCCTCAGTTTTCCCATCTGGGATGTGGGGGTGAACCCTGCTCTCTACCTGACTGACTCTCCTGAAGATTAAATGCGGTTATTGGCATGTAGAGCCCATTGCATGGGAACTTTGGGTCAGAGTGGTTGAACCGCCAGAGGCAGCAGATCAGTATGCAGAAGGGAAGATGCCACTGAGGGTCTGCATGTGTGTGCGGAGACTGGAGGAATGGGCCACTGAGGACCTGCTGGGGGAGGGGCCGTGCTGTCAGAGCTGGTAATTAGGCCACGGATTAGGGGACCCACGTGACTGCTGGTGCAAGTGCTTTTGTTGAGGTCTGAGCCTCCTTTAGCACCACCCCCCACCCCTGGGATCAAAGGAAATGTCCAGTTCTCTTTGCAACACAGTGGGAGGGGGTCACCCGGAAGGGTCTGAGCCTTCCTCCCAGCGTTGTTAGGGGCGACCAAGGGAAGGAGGTAGTGAGGCACCCTCGAGGGAGGCTTATTTTGACAGTTCACATGCTGCTTACGTGGTCCTCAGGCCTCTAGAGGAGCCGCAGAGACAAGAAGGCCAAGGCTCAGAGAGGGTCATACGCTTGCCCAAAGGACCCAGCCAGTAAGAGGGTGGGCCTCGGCCTGGTCCTTCTCTTGCCCTTGTCTCCAACCAGAGTGAGTGGTGTGGACCTGTCTTCAGGGACAGAACCTCAGGCCCTCTCTGCCTGGCTCCAGTGATCTCGTCAGCATCCATCCTCTCGTTTCTCTGCTGCAACCCATCTGAAAAGGCTGGGGTGCTCACAGACCTGGGGTGCAGCCCATAGGGGCCTGCGGGGCCTGTGGGACCTAAGAGCTGCTAACCAGTCACTGTTGTGCCTTGTACCTTAACGGCATGCAGAAGGCCACTCACATGATCACCTAGGTTCAAGAAGGGAGGAAGGCCGGGGGCATGCCTTCTAGCCAGCCCAGCTGGCTTTGGAGCTCTGAGGCCTGGGGCTTTGTGCAGTCATTTCAGGGGAGGGAAGCAAGGGAGAAGGCACTGGAGGGTGGCCAGGCCTGTGCGGGCTAGTGAGAGAGCAGGTGGGCACTAGGAAAGAGAGCTGAGGTGGGGGGAGGCTAGGGATGGTGGAAGAGAGACCTCGCTCCCCTGAGGGCTTGCTCTCACTCTTTTTTGATATGTGTCTCTTTTCATTTTAGTTTTTTATTTTTTAATTTTTAAATATTTATTTTTTTATTATGTATACAATGTTCTGTCTGTGTGTATGCCTGCAGGCCAGAAGAGGGCACCAGTCCTCATTTCAGATGGTTGTGAGCCACCATGTGGTTGCTGGGGTTTGAACTCAGGACCTTTGGAAGAGCAGGCAATGCTCTTAACCACTGAGCCATCTCTCCAGCCCTATTTTTTAATTTTTATTTTTTATCTTTTGAGACAGGATCTCACTATGTAGCTCTAGAACTCACTATATAGGCCAGAACTCAACAGAAATCTGCCTGCTTCTGCCTCCCAAGTGGTGGACTCAAAGGCCTGTGCCACCACCACAGGGCAGCTTCAGTCTTCAGAGCAGGCACTTTGGCCTTCCTTCCCTTTGTCCTACAACTTAGCAGCCTCGGAGGCTAGGACAGACTCACAGGTTAACAGCCAGTTTGCCTAAGGCGTGAGTCATGGCTCTGGCTTTGGCTTTTAACAGTTCTAACTGGACACATTGGGCAAAACCACAATCTTGAGGGCATGCAGCCGCAGAACAGCAAGATCTCTGCCAACTCATCTTCAGGTGTGAGGCACAGTTGTGGGCAGGACCAGCTTTCACATCCCAGGAGAGGCACTCCTGCTGTAATGTGGTCACTGAACACCAGGGGGCAGCAGGAGTCCAGCCTTGATCTTGAGGCTCTTGATCAGGATGCCTCTCCGCGGCGGCGTAGTTGCCACTCTAGCCTTGAGTAGCCAACTGGGGAAGAACCTGTTCACCTCAGCAAGGGATCCTGGAGGTGCCGCTAAAGATGGACTGCTACCTTGGGAGCTGTCCCAGGCCCTAATTGTCCAACTTCCAGCTTGGCTAACTTCTCTCTTTAAAACACAGCCCAGGGAGGGCTGGGTGTAAGGGAAGAGTAGGAAGTGAAGGGAGTGAGGAAGGCCCCCTTGCCCTGACCACACAGGGCCCAGGTGAGCCTATTCTTTCAGACTCCACTTATGGTGAGACTCTGAGCAGTGACTACCGCTCTGGCCTTGGTTCCTTCACCGGGATGTTACAGGAGTAAGTGAGGGCACACGAAACAATGTCTAAAAGTCCTGGGCTCTGAGAACACAGCTCAGTTGTGAAGAGTTCTTGCCTAGCACACATATTCCCAGCACTACATAAACCAGGCGTGTGGGGCGTACCTGAAATCCCAGCTCTTAGGAGGTAGAGGCAGGAGGGTCAGAATGACAACGTCATCCTTGGCTACATAGCGAGTCTGAAGCCAGCCGGGTCCACCGGAAGACTGTGCCTCGAAACAAAATATAACAAAGTATCTTTTGGCAACCCTTTCATCCCTGAGGTCTGTTTCTGGGTTTGAGTGTGTTTGTGGTGGTGGTGGGTAGGCTACTTCTCCCTGCATGGGAGGAATACTTGGGGTTCAGAGGGGATCCTCGCCCTCCTCTCTGTGGGGCGGGGCCCACTCTCCCCTAGCCTCTCCGGCGGGTCCTGGACTCCTCTGACACTGTAGCTAGGCCAAAGGTAGTGGCTTGGTGGGACCTAGGGGTCCTAGGTGCACCCCGTGGGCAGGAGGTTCTGATTGTGAATGCTGCGAGTGCCAACAAGAAAGGAGACGTGGGGGAAGGGACTCAAGGATCTGCATTATCATACCCTTCACAAAGTGGGCCCCTGGGCCTGCGGACCCAGCGTTGCACATGGTCTGCTGGGAACTTTGGGCGAGCTTAATATTTGACTTCGGTTCCTACGGAGCCCTTTAGACCGCCTCATCCCCGAGAGAGGGGCATCGGGATCCTGGGATGCCCAGTAGTTCTGGACTTCTAGAACTTGACTGGGTCCTTGGCCCAGTCAAGTCGTGCCGCTGATCGCAGGCTCCCCGCCTCCAAACCGCGGCGGCGGCTAGGCGGCCGCCGCACGTGTCTGGGGGCGGCTCCTGCCTGCGGCTGTTCCTTGTTCGTAGTCTCCCTCTGCACGGCCTGCCCTGCCCCTCCCACCCATTCCTGGGGAGTGAGGACCCCCGGCCCGGACCCCGAGTACAAGGCAGGCCCTGTAATCGGAGCCTGGGCCGCATGTGGCCGCGTCACCGGAGAGAGGCCGGCACCTGCGGAGGACGTGTCTGGCAGCGGCCCCAAGAACAGCCCGTCCTGGGGGCGGGGCGAGCCGAGCGCGGGAACTGGTGCGGGAGGGCGTTCGCGCTGCGCCCGCCTGGGGCCCCGCCAAGTGCGCGAGGGCGCTGCTTGGGGGCGGCGGGGTTGGTCTGTAACCGCGCAAACCCCTCGGAGCCTCCAGCCCAACCAATGGGGCAGGAGTTGGAAGCTGGGGGGAAAGTGTGGGGGACATTCCAGGGGCTCCCGCCATCGCAAACAGAGCCAGCACAAACTCCATCCAGGGCTTGGTCCAAGTATTCCTTAAGATCGAGGCCAGCGAAGTGGCTGTTGCCCCTGACTGTTGAGTGATCTCAGACCGAATGCTGAACCTCTCTGCGTTCTTTGCCCTGTCCTCTCTCTCCTGGGTGGTGGGTAAGGGAGCCCAAAGCAGATTGCAGGTCAGAGCACGGAGTAGGCACAACATTGGAGACGCCTTTGGCCTTCTTGAGAGTGCATCATTAACAGGGAGCCAGCTGAAAACCTCCCCTCCCAAATAAAGAGACCCCAGAAGGACTATGGGAGATTGCTCTCTGTCCATGGCCGTCCAGGGCCTCCAGAAGCAGCAATGTGTGTCACCCGGTCCTTTGGCCTTCTCCCTCTAGTTCTGACCCTGGGCCTGCAGTCTCCACCTTCCTTGATGGATGGGTGACATGTGGCCGCCCATGGCTTCATGGAAAATTCTTCAAGGCCTTAATTTATCTGATAAGACAGCTCAGGGTCTTAGAATCTGTGAAGGCTTCAGGCAGGTTTTACTAAGGGCCATGGGGGAAGACATATCTCAATCCTATATTTGGTTACCCCAGGAAGGTCCCAGAACCTGGGGCTGTGGGTTAGGCGGTGTGTTCGACCAGGAGAATCATCCACGCAGGCAGGAAAGGGAGGCATGGGGCAGCCAGGAAGCTGGTGCTACCCTAGTGGGCCACCAGGGGGCAGCATGAAGCAAAGGACAGACCTCCTAGACGCTGCCTTCGCTCTAGTTAGGGGCTAGAAGACCCTGGCTGGGCACGGGGCTTCCTGGGGCGCCCGAGTCCCTGTGGCAGCTGAGCAGCTATGTCGGTGTTGTGTGACCCCAGGACGTTCTGGGAAACTGAACTGGCTTAGCTGTTCCAATCTCCTCTAAGAATGAAAGTGCGGGAGGGCTGGGGCCAAGATTTTTTCCTGCGTTACAATTCACTAATCAAATCTTGGAGTTGGTTCGGGGAGCTGGAGGGTGTGGGTTAAGCTGGCCTTAATCACCTAGGAGCCACAGCAAGGGTTTAATCTAGGCAGCCCGTTTCCTCCTCGGAACATAGTGCCCAAGTGTCTTCCTGCCTGTTGTGTGTTCTAGCTGCAGGCAGTAGCGCCACGGTAGAGTCAGCTCCAAACTTTTAGCAATGAAGGACGCAAAATTTATTTACTTATTCATTCATTTATTTTCGGTGCCGGGGATGGAACCCAGCGCCAGGGTTCATACTTTTCAAGTGCCTTACCACTGAGTCACCCTCAGCTCTTCAAATTTTATCTCCTACTCCAATCCCTGGAAGAGCGGCTGTGCCTGAGCCTTGCCACGGCCCTCTTTTTTTTCCGTTTGGTCAGCGGGTGGGTACACAGAAAAACAGCTCCCGTGGTCGTCATCTAAACGGGTGCGCATGAAATTTTGCCAGAGATCCGCGGCACAAACTGGTCTCTGGACTTAGATGTGCGCTTTTCCCAGGTGATCTGGAGAAGCTCTGGACACACTGCTCAAGGCTATGGGTGAAGACTGCAGGACAGAAACAGCGCTCTACTCATCATGACCAAGGGAGGGGTCCCAGGGCTTATACTTCCTTTACCCCACAAGAGGCAAGCCCAGGAAACTTGTCCCCGAGAGCCGGACACCAAACAGGCACCCCCCCAGCACCCCATCCCTCAGCTCTCCACAGCAACACAGTAAAAACGTACTTTTTTTTCCTTTGGATGTATTTTTGATGACAGAAAATAGAAGGTAAGTCTTGTAGCCAGACAGAGGTTTACTTACGTGCAGACTTCATGGGCTGGCGGGCTAGGTGTGGGACTGGGCCCTTCTCCTGGAACCAGTGTGCCTACCAAATCTGTGCATGCTGTCCTTGATAGACTTGCAGAGTGGTCACTTCCCCTGGGTTGAGGTGGGACAAATAGACTGATCAAACAGTAATAAAAAAGTAGAAAGCAGCCAGGCAGTGATGCGTACACCTTTAGTCCGAGCACTTGGGAGGCAGAGAGGCTGGCGGATCTCTGTGAGTTCAAGACCAGTCTGGTCTACTAAGTGAACTCCCAGACAGCCAGAACTGTTACATAGAGAAACTGTTTCAAAAAAACAAAAAAACCACAACAACATAAAACAAACAAAAAGTAGAAAGCAAACAAGACAGACAACCTTAGGGTGGGGATGTTCTAGCCAGGCTGATGCCCAGTGAGGCAGTCTGCACAGCTCACCTGGGTACCTTTACTGCTTCTCCTAACTAATAGGGCACGGCGGTTCTGCACCATAGGGAGTGTCCAGTCCTCACAGCAGCTTTTGGCCTGGGTTGTGGGCAGGGTGGGCCTTCTCTGTTCCTGCCATCTTTGACAGCGGTAGCCTGGGTATTCGGACTGTTGGGGAAACCCTGGGAGCCAGGTGGTCACTAACAAGCGTGGTCCTGTGCCCAGGGGTCTCTGGTTGAGGACTCAGAACTGACTCCTTGTGACCCTGGACTAGTTGATTTTAGCCTTTAGTGAGGGGCTCAGAAGCCTTCGTTAGTTTGACTTTACTCAAGAACAATATCGTGACTTACCAATGTCCTGAGAGATTTGTAAAGTGGTGTACTGAGAAAAAGACATCCTCACAGGTCACAGGCATTCCAAACCCTGTCTCTCATCTGTTCCAGGACGACCTATTCACTGGCACCTGGCTTCAGGGTTTGAAGACCTCTTATCGACCACTCGCCTTCCTGGTTGTTCCGAACTACCTAACCACTGCAAATAGGTTTCTGTCTCCGAATTCTCAGAGGCAGTCTCTGCTGGGAGGGGAGAGCTTGGGGGCTCTGCACGGCCTTTCAAGTATGGCCGGAAGTCCTGGTTCCCCACGGCGGGGGAGGGGGCCTGCTCCTGGCACATGCCGGAGTCACCTTCTGGACTCCCTGCCCTAAATAATGGACTTCTTTTGGCGGCAGGGGTGGGGGTGGGGGTCTGCCGTCGCAGTCGGGGTGTGTTTGTGTGAGTACACAGGGCCCCACCAAGAGGCACTGCTGTGGAGGAGGGGTGGGTCTTCCCCTCTTTCCCAGCACAACTACTTCCAGTCAACCAAGGCAGGCAGAACTGGTGCCTGGATATGGCCTGACGGGTCCTGGGCATATAGCAGTGTCGTGATGTAGGTACAGGCCAGGATGGAACAGTTTATGTCTCATCTGGGTAGGCGAACCCACATAGATCAGGCTACTGGTCAGGCCCCCAAGACCTCCACAATATTGTCCCTCCGGAAAAGAATGGAGCTGATCCCTGTCTCTACCTCCTTGTTGGAGGCTCTTAGTGCCAGCAGGTGTTCAGACACCTCGAACGAAGGCAAGGACACAGGTCTGGGTGCAGAGGGCAGCTCCAGCCATGGTCCTGCCAGGGCCAGGACCCAGCTGGTAGAGATGGTTTAAAGCCCTATCAGCTGGCGCAGCCCTAGTGAGAGCACAGGCCGTGGGGACCGAAGGACCTGCACCGACGCCAGTATCGCCGAGGGGCAGTGCCCAGCTTCAGGGTCCGAGGGGGCGCGCGCGTCGCGGCTGCGCAAGCCCCCGCCTGCAGACAAAGGAGCCCGCGGGGGGCGGGGGGGGATGGGGCGAGGAGGAGGGGCGTCGCGGTGTCACGTTACCGCCCGCAGAGCTCTTTAACTCGAGCCCCGCCCCCTGTCCCGCGCAGCCCGCTCACAGCGCGGCCGCCAATCAGCGCACGCCCATCGCCGGCCCCGCCCGGCCCCGGGGGTGTGTGCACGCGGCCAATGAGCGAGTCTAGGGGGCCGGGCCTCTGTGGGCGGGGCGGGGTGTCTCGGCCTATCGCCGCGGTGTTGTTGAAACTGAAAATACTACATTATGCTAATCGTGAGGAGGCCCGCGCGCGCGGGGGTGGGGCCAGCGCGTATAAAGGGGCGCAGCGGGCTGGGCGTTCCACAGGCCGAGTGCGCTGTGCTCGAGGGGTGCCGGCTAGGCCCGACTGAGAGCAAGCGAACAGGCAGGCAAGCTCCGAGGGGGCGCGGCCCAAGCTGGACAGGACAAGCGATCGAGACGCAGGAGCCGTCCACCACCAATCAGCCAGGTAGCTGCCGCGTCCCTAGGCAGAGGCGGACGAGGGCTGTGCAAGGGGTCTCGCCCACGCCCATCCTCCGCCCTCCTCCTCTCCCCTCTTCCTTCTCCTCCCGCTCCCTTCTTTCTCGCCGCCCGCGTTTGCACAGCCTTCGACCATGGGCATGTCCGACGTGTACCTCCGCAGCAGAACAGCGATGGAACGCTTGGCTTCCAGCGATACCTTCCCAGTGATAGCGCGCAGCAGCGCCTGCCGCAGCCTCTTCGGGCCTGTGGACCACGAGGAGCTGGGCCGCGAGCTGCGAATGCGCCTGGCGGAGCTGAACGCCGAGGACCAGAACCGCTGGGACTTCAACTTCCAGCAGGATGTGCCCCTTCGAGGCCCTGGTCGTCTGCAGTGGATGGAGGTGGACAGCGAGTCTGTGCCCGCCTTCTACCGCGAGACGGTGCAGGTGGGGCGCTGTCGCCTGGTGCTGGGGCCCCGGCCTCCCCCGGTGGCCGTGGCTGTCATCCCACGTTCTGGGCCGCCAGCCGGCGAGGCCCCCGACGGCCTAGAGGAGGAGCCTGAGCAGCCGCCCAGCGCCCCAGCCTCGGCCGTGGTCGCGGAGCCCACCCCACCCCCGACCCCGGCCCCGGCCTCAGATCCAACCTCAGACCCGATTCCGGACGGGACCCCTGACGCGACCTCGGACCCGACTCCAGACCCGGTCCCGGATGCGAACCCGGACGTGGAGCGTCAGGACGACGAGGAACAGGTCCCTGAGGAGGTCCCTGAGCAGGTCCCTGAGCAGGGCGAGGAGCCGGGTGCTGAGCCGGGTGCTGAGCCGGGAGCTGAGCTGGGCGCTAAGCAGGGCTCTGAGCAGGGCGAGGATCAGGGCGCGGAGTCGGTCGAGGAGCAGGACGCAGACCCGATCGAGGAGCAGGGCGCGGAGTCGGTCGAGGAGCAGGACGAGGAGACCGTGGAGGAGCAGGGTGCTGAGCCAGTCGAGGAGCAGGACGAGAACCAGGAGCAGCGCGGCCGGGAGCTGAAGGAGCAGCCTCTCTCGGGGATTCCAGGACGTCCCGCTGCCGGGATTGCTGCGGCCACTGCGAACGGTGCGATCAAGAAGCTGTCGGGGCCTCTCATCTCCGGTGAGCCCCGCACGGCCCCGCCCCGGCCCGGCCTCGCTTTGTCCGGCCGGCCGGGCTCTCCCTCGCCCTCGGGGGCCTCGCCCGGTCCCCGCCTCCTCCCGTGGCATTAAAGGGCCCGCGGCGCTTAGGGCGCGGTTGCGCCTGCACCCCTCTCCTACTGGTGGGGGTGCATCTCCAAGGCTCCCGAGCGTGCAGTGGGAGGGTGAGCCTGGCCGCGACCCACTCGGATCGCGGTCTTTGGCTCGGGCTGCGGGAGCCCCTTAGGGCGCCGTGTGTGCGGCATGGAGGGGGTTAAGTGCGGCGGCAGCCCCGGGGGGCTTGGCCGCGGGACAAGGGGAAATGCTTACACAGCACATTGCGCGGCGACGTAAACAAAGCTGACCCGCCGCGGACCTCGGCGCGGGCGGGGATGGCGCCCCCACCCCGGCCCCGCGCCCTGCGCACTCCGCCGGCCCCCTCGCGGGTCTCCGGGCCGGCCCCGCCCTGACCGGCGCGCGCTGTCGCCCCGCAGACTTCTTCGCCAAGCGCAAGAGATCTGCGCAGGAGAACAAGGCGTCGAACGACGTCCCTGCGGGGTGTCCCTCTCCTATCGTGGCTCCTGGGGTGGGCGCGGTGGAGCAGACCCCGCGCAAGCGTCTGCGATGAGTTAGGTGAGTTCGGCGCTCCCCTCCACCCGGGGGTCGCGGAGGGGCCGCCCCTGGGGGGTTCCCGCCGTGCGTGCTCACCTGAGTCCCTTTCCCCGCAGCAGCAGTTTAGAGCCTAAAGGCCAGAGAGAACTTGCTGGGCATCTGGGCAGCGGACGATGGAAGAACTCGGGGCTTCGGCTGGGACCTTTCGTTCATGTAGCAGGAACCGGAGAAGGCTGCGCAAAGCAGCCCACGGTTTTGTGGAAATCTGAAAACTGTGCAATGTATTGAGAACACTCTGTACCATGTGCAAGGAGTACGCTGGTCCCAAGGTGTAAAGCTTTAAATCATTTATGTAAAATGTTTAATCTCTACTCGCTCTCAGTGCAAAAAAAGAGAAACTAGAAAACGTAGAACGAAGGAAAAAATGAGAAAAAGAAAAAAACATGTATATTTGTACAAAAAGTTAAAAAAATTATGCTAACTTAATAATTGTATTTATCCATGTGCGGATCTCTCTGCCACGCAACTGCTGGATTATTGATTATTACCAAAGGCACTAGAAATCACCAGCTTCAGATTACCCACAAATGTAAATCTACTTTTATATTAGACTCTAGGGGAATGGTTGTTGCTTAAAAGCCCCCACACATTCATCTCCAGTTAGCTTACAGTCTCCCCCCTGCTTTATTAGAGTGCTCTTAAACTTGGTGACCAGACTGTCGAAATGGTTCCTGTGCTGCCCATACCAACTGCCCAGGGCTCCTCGTCCGCCAGGTTCTAAATAAAGAGGCCCAACAAAAATTACACTTCCAGTCTGTTTGTTCTTTTACACCTCTGTAGCCCCAGAACGGGGGCAACTGAACATGGTGGGTGGGGGGCTGGGGCAAAGCGGGGAATCAGTCAAAAACATCGTCACCACTTGACAGAGTTGTTGGCAGCTTACAAAGGGGGGAGGGATGGGTGCGGCTTTCACTGGGTCTACTGACCTGCTACTCAGGTTTAGGAAACAAGTGTCTGCTCACAACAGACTCACTTTTCCTTCTAACTCCAGCCAGGCCCGGATGGGGGCTTGCAGGACTTAGTACAACATACACAGTTCACGTGTACCTGTAGAAGTTCTCCATGTGCAGATTGCAGTGAAGCCCTGAAAGCTCCAGGGTCCCTAGGGGCCATAAGGCTGAGCATCCCCAAGAGAGGGCAGCATGATGGCTTGGCAGGAAGTGGGGACATTGGTGATGAGCAAACACTAGAGAAGAACACAGAGTGAGGTGCCTGTGAGTGGGTGGGGTGGGGTGGGGATGGGCCCTGACCCAGCTTCTGTGGAAGAATTCAAAGCTACGTCTCCTACATAACATGCCCTGTTTCCCAACAGTGCATGGGGTTCCAAAGAGCCCCCTTTTAGTATAAAAAGGAAGGGCTCTTTATGCCTGGTCTATAAACCTATGAAAGCAATGGCTTTCAAAGGGAAAGGTGACATAAAACAGATTGGCCCATGAAGTCCTTATGAAATTCCTTGGGCCGAGAGAGAATTCGTGGACGGTATCAGCCCATAAAGGCTTGATCAAGATTTTAGAGATGGGGGGGGGTGTATAATTAACCTTTCCTGAATACCTTAGAGGTCCAGCTGCGGTCAGGCTCTGAGCAATGCCCCCACCCCATTGAGAGGGCAGATATCAGTAAGAGTGTAGACCCTGCTGCCTGCAGCAGCCCCTCAGCTGCATGGCCCAGGAATTAGATCCCAGCAAGGAAAGCTGCTTGCAGGCTTCTACCAGCTCCCTGGGGTGGGGGAAACGCCCAGCACTTACCTGTGTGCTAGACAGCAGCCCTTTTTTCTATGACTTAAGGGTGGATCTGGTACTTGAGGTGCTGGGCAACAGAGGCATGGGTTAGGTCCTTGCCGTTAGGAGAACACTGGTCCAGAAGCTTGGCAGGTAGCCATGGGGCCTCAAGGACCTGAATGAACTATGTGGAGTGCACACAGTACAGAGAGGCCTCCGTGTGCAGGTTGGCTAGGCCTCTGTTCCCTGGTATGATTCTCACAAACACTAACCCTAGGGCCCGCCTGCAAACCCACATTCTATGATACTTTATGGGGGAGGCTTCCTCAAAAGCATCCAGGGCTGTGTAAGAACACAGGCCAATGCCACTGCCATTTCTTGGGTGCAGCAGGGTCTGTAGCAGAATCTGGAAGACACCTGGCCTAGGAAGCAACACCACACGTGTGACTTTGAGCCCACGTGGTCCCAGCCAGACCTTGACCTTGGAAGCAAGTTTCTCTATTTGAGCTGGGAAATGTCTTGACGTCCTATAGCTGCTGCCCTGGGCATGCAGGATGTCGGGTGGGACTGTCCAGTCCTGGACCCAGATGGAGGGGCAGTTGCTAGGTCTGTTGTATTAACCACCCAAGTGGTAATGCCACGTGATGGTGGGCAAGGGTGTGTCACCCTGGGAAGGGTGGGTGAGTCCCTAAATAGGGGTGATCCAGGACCCCTCAACAGAATAGCCAGGACCATGAGGGAGGAAAGAGAAGAAGGGTGAGTGTGCAGAGGAGGAGAAGAAAGAGGAGACCATGGGGCTGTCAGGCTCTCAGGGGATGCCTGGGGCCTTGGTGGGACTTGGGCTACTACCATATGGGTTATGTTATTGAGAATGAATGTGCACTTTAGGGGTGTGACTTCTTTTTCTCTGGCCTCACGAGCCTGATCCACAGGATGCAGGTTGGCTTTTGTGCAAGGCCGTGAGGAATGAAAGCAAAGGGATCATGGCTGGCAGAGAGCAGGAAAGCCAGCAAGAAGGCCGGCTGTGCCAGGAGGGTGCTGTGCTAAAGAGGCTGGGTGGCTCATGTTCCAAAGGAAGGAGAGATGTCAGAGAAGGGCGGGAAGAATAAAGCTGCAGTTCCAGGCTCCCTAAGACCCTCTGTGTGGGAGGCAAAGATAAATCCAGGAAACCACAGCACACTGAGACCAGTGTTGGAGACAGCCGAGCAACACCCAATCTTTACTTAAAACAGGGCACAGTAGGGTTCCCAGCAGGCAGCACTTGCTGACTGCACCAGATCAGTGGGACTGGCAGCGGAAACTTGCCGTGCCTAGGCCCTGAGGCCCTGAGGGTATTCCCGGAATAGGGAGTTAGAGAGGCTGGGGGCAGGGTTAGGAACTGCTGTGAGCTGTATTTAGCTGGAAGGCCTCAGGTTTCTAGGGCTGATGTGAAAGGTGGGGGGTGGGAGCAGGTTGTCAGAATGAGGGAAGGGGAAACAGCCAGGCTCCTTGCTTTGAGATATAAGTTGCATGTCAGGCCATCACTATCCTGACTTCCCTTTTGGGATAGGCCATGAGAGCCTCGGAGCATCTTCATCATCTCAGCAGCCCTGTGGTGAGGTATGAGCACCTGTGTAACAGACGTATGGAGTGAGGTTTTGAGAGGCAGGCTAGCTTGCGGAGTTCCACTGCTGATTTGGCATAGGAGAGAACTGGCCAGTGCATAGCCGGGCTTGTCCCTAGGGTCAACGGCACTGATTTGGCTTCTGCTTTTTCTGTTTGTTTTTGACACATTGTTATTAATGAAA